GGAAGCATTCTTTCCTCTGAAAATTTTTGCATAATTTGAGTATGGATAGTTCTTCTTTAAGTATTTGTTAGAATTCAACTGTGAAGCTATCTGGTACTAAACTTTTGGTTTGGGGAAGTTTTTAAATTACTGATTGAACTTCATTACTTATAATCAGTCTGTTCAGATTTTTAATTTCTTCATGATTCAATCTTGAAAGGTTGTGTGTGTCAAGGAATTTATTTCTTCTAGGTTTTCCAATTTATCGACAAATAATTGTAGTAATCTCTTACGATCTTTTGTATCTGTGGTGTTAGTTGTAACTTCTCTTCCATCTCTGATTTATTTTGGCCCTGAATTTTTTTTTTTTTTATTAGTCTTGCTAAAGGTTTATTGATTCTATTTATCTTTTCAAAGAACGTGTTTGGTCTGCTGATTTTTTTTGTCTCTATTTCACTTATTTTCATTTTGATCACTATTATTTCCTTTCTTATACTAATTCAGCCTTGGTTTACTCTTTTTCTAGTTGTTTTAGGTATAAAGTTAGATTGTTTATTTGGGATTTTTCTTGTTTCTCAAGGTAATCCCATAACACTATGAATTTCCCTTTTAGAATTGCTTTTGCTGTATGCCATAGATTTAGGAAAGCTGTGTTTCCATTTTCATTTGTGTCAGGGTACTTTTTTAATTTCCTCTTTGATTTCTTCATTGACCCATTGGTTGTTTAGTAACATGTTGTTTAGTGTCCATGTGTTTGTGGGGGCTTTTTCCCCCATTTTTCTTCTTGTAATTGATTTCTAGTTTCATATTATGGTGATTAGAAAAGATTATTTTAATCTTAAATTCACTGAGACTTGTTTTGTGGTGTAACATGTGCTCTGTCCTGGAGAATGTCCCATGTACACTTGAGTAAAATGTGTCTTCTGCTGTCTGGTGATGGGATATTCTGTATATATCTATTAAGTCTATCTGGTCTAATACATCATTTAAGACCAATATCTTCTTCTTGATTCTGTCTAGATGATCTATCCAGTGATGTAAGTGGGATGTTAAAAGACCCTACTATTATTGTATTACTGTAAATTTCTCCCTTTATGTCTGTTAACATTTGGGTTTCATATTTAGGTGTTCCTATGTTGGGTGCATAAACATATACAAATGTTATATCCTCTTCTTGGATTGACCCCTTTATCATTATGTAATGCCCTTCTTTGTCTTTTGTTAGGTTTTTGTTTTAAATTCTGTTTTGTCAGATAGAAATATTACTACACTAGCTTTCTTTCCATTTCCCTTTGTATGGAATCCTTTTCCATCTCTTCACTTTGAGTCTGTGTGTGTCTTTAGGTCTGAAGTGAGTAGGCAGCATATAGGCAGCATATATATTAAAAAAATTTTTTATACATTTTGCTACTTCATACCTTTTGATTGAAGCACTTAGTCCATTTACATTTAAAGTAGTATTAGAAGGTATATACTTACTGCCATTTTGTTAATTGTTTTCTGGTTGTTTTTGTAGTTCTTCTTTCAGTCTCTTCCTTTGGGATTTAATAGTATTTTTTAGTGTTATGTTTGGGTTCCTTTCTCTTTATTGTTTGTGTATCTATTGTAGGTTTTTGGCTTGTGGTTACCATGAAGATCATATACAGTAGCTTACATATGTAGCAATCTATTTTAAGCTGATGGTTGCTTAAGAAAGCATTAAAACGCATTTTAATGCCCCCATTTTTAGTCCCCACTCTGTGCTTTGTTTTTGATGTCTTATTTTACTTCATTTTGTTTATCCCTTAACTACTTATTGTAGTTAGAGTTGGTTTTACTTTTTGTCTTATAACCTTTATAGTAACTTTTCAAGTGGCCGATTTGCTGCTTTTACTATATATTTGGTTTTACCATTGAGATTTTTTTCTTTCCTATATTTTCTAATTTCTAGTTACATCCTTTTCTATTTAAAGAAAACACTTTAACATTTCTTGTAAGGCTAGTTTAGTAATGATTAACTATTTTAGCTTTTGTTTTTCTAGGAAACTCTTTACTGCACCTTAAATTCTGAATGATAACCTTGTCAGGTAGTGTGTTCTCAGTTGTAAGTTTTCCCTTTCAGCACTTTGAATGTGGTATGCCACTCCATTCGGGCCTGCAACATTTCTGCTGAAAAATCAACTAGTATTCTTATGAGGTTTCCCTTGTATTTTTATTATAATATGTCTTGGTTTGGATCTCTTTGGATTCTTCTTGTTTGGGATTGTGCTTTCTGGATCCAGATGTCTGTTTCCTTCCCCAGGTTAGCAAACTTTTCACCCATTATTTCTTCAAAAAAGTTTTTAACCCCTTTATCTCTTTATTCTTCTGCTGAGATAAATATAATGCAAATGTTAATATGCTAGATGTTGTATCCCAGAGGTCTCAAACTATTCTCATTTTTTAATTCTTTTTTCTTTTTGGTCTTCTGATTAGGTAATTTCCACTATTCTCTCTTCCAGATTATTGACCTGTTCTGTGTCATCTAATCTGTGGTTGATTCCCTCTGGTGTATTTTTCAGTCCAGCTATTATAATCTCCAACTTTGTGACTTCTGTTTGGTACTTTCTTATATTTTCTAACTCTTTGTTGAAGTTTTCACTCTATTCTTACATTCTTCTCTGGAGTTGTATGTTATATGAGCTTCTTTTTTTTTTTTTTTTTATATGAGCTTCTTTATGACCATTACTTTGAACTCTTTATCAGGTAAATTACTTATCTCTGTTTTATTAGGGGTTTTTGGGGGGAGGGGTAGTATCTTGTTCTTTTGTTCGTAACATATTCCTCTTCTCATTTTTTTTTACTTTCTGTGTTTGTATCTGTAAATTATGGAGAACACCTACCTCTCCCAATCATGAGTCACCTTGCATTGGAGCATCCCCTTTGTAGACTACATGTGCCTGGTGGCTTTGGCTGACCAGCTGGAGCTGAATAAGGTGCAGCCTGGAGGGTTCTGGAGTGTGCTACACCAAGGCCACCCTGGCAGGACAGCTAGAGCTGGAAATGGACCACAAAGTCACAGGATGCTGTGAACCAGATCCGCCTTTGGCAGGATAGTTGGAACTGGAGCATTCATGGGCTGGGGTTCTCAGAAAGATCATCTCCCCTATAAGGCTGTCCTGGAGGGATGGCTGGAACTGAAGTAGAAGTGTGCACTCTCTGCTTGCCACCCTGGAAGGATGGCTGGAGTGATGCAGGCCTGATGGGGTCCTGAGGTGCTGTGTACTTGGGTTGCCTAGCAGGATGGCTGGGTTGGGCACAGACCAGGGGAGACCAGGAGCACACACTGAGACCACCTTGGTAGAATGGCTGCAGTTGATATAGGCTTGGGGCCTGGGGCTTGCTGAGTGCCTGGACCCTGCTCCCATCTACACTATCAAGGTCAAGGGTTATATAAACAGTGGTGCCTGGTGGCACCTCAGACCCCAAAGAGAGTTCAAAGAGTCCTCACACTTTGGCAGATGCTCTAGAGTTAGTAGATGGCTTTCCTTCACTTACAGTGTAGTTGCCCTTTAAATAAATGGCTGTTTCTTTGCTGTGTCCTAAGGCAGGTGAGTCTGTATACAGGCCCCTCAGTGATATCTGTCCCTAGTGCAGATCATCACATCAGGGGTAGGGTTCCCATCGTTACTATGTCTCCCTCTGTCCTGTTCTTCTCTAGGCGGTCCCTCTATCATTGGTTGTGCCAAAGCCATTCAATCAGCAGTTTTTCTTCAGGAGGAATTGCTCTATATTGAGTTGTAGAGTCTGTGTGTCCATGGGGGGAGGTGAGTTCTGGGACTTAAGATGAAAGGACCATCTCCTTTTGCCCAACTTAAAAATGTTAGCAGTTAGATTTTTCATCAGTGTATTGGTACATTATAAGATCATGGCAAAGAGTGCAAGTGCTGAACCCTGATAAAGTAGGTCAGAGGCTAGCCAGATTCTAAGGCTAGCCAATTTCCCTGACACCCTAAGACACAGGATTAGTATAGATTATCCCAAAAGCTCTCAAGGAAAAGTAAATCTACAGTTTCTGATCTTTTTTTCATGATTACTCATTATATAATTTCTAGTAGTAACTACTTGTGTGAGTTTGGGCAAGTTTAATTTTATTGGTCCTAAATTCTATAAAATGGGAATATTCATAAAGACCTAACAGGGAGAGAAGAAAAACATTTGTGTGTATAAGGGTAGATCACTTGGGGGGGGGGTCTTCATTAAGTGTTTGTTGAATGAGTAGAGTTCCCCATGTATATAGTTGAGGTCCATATGGTTTAGAGCAACAAATCTGGATCTGAGGGAAAGCTATAAAATCTAGGAGGTTGCTGGTTCCTTTGGAGAGGCCCAGGCTAAGTCCACAGCCCTTGCTGGGCAGCGTCAGGTTTTAAGATAAAAGAATTGAAAGTCTTCAGGTGTAGAGATCACAAGTACCACACTTGGTGGGCTTACTGCTGACATGACTAATGTCCTCACAACACCCTTGGTATCTTTGCTTTAAATTCTGGAATACATAGAAAACTGTCTTATCTACTTCCCTCCAGGAAAGGTATAGGAATGATAACATTAAAATGCTTCTGCAGTGCAAGCTCCATTTTAGGACTAACTTTTGAACTTGATAAAAAGTATACTTTGAAGCAATAATGGATGAAGTGGCAGTTGTGATACCCGCTATTTTCCCTAATGGACCACTTACTCCCCCAAAGTAGTTTACACCCTAGAAATGTACCTCAAGGTGAAGCAGTGTCATTTTAACTTGATCTTTTTTGGCGTACTAGACCAGATGTATGGGCAAAAGATGGAGACATTCTTTCAAATACCATAAAATTGGGTTTTTTTAACCCTCTCCTCTTACAATGGGGGGTTCTATAGTAAAGGCAGTTGAGTATATAAAGCATCATGCATGGTCCTCAACTTAAATCTCCATAGATTTTAAATTATCTTTAATGCTACATGTTGAAGTCTTAAGTTTGCCATACAGTTCACGTGCCCAAAATTAAGTATAATTTTTATTTTTCACATTTGCATTTAAAATTTGCAAGCCTAGGGTATTAACATGAAGTCTTAAGGCAATAAAATAATCACAAAAACTTATGTGCCATCAGCAGAATGAATTTTTTACTTACTAATAGGACAATAATAATTCTAGTAAGCATCCCGTCAAATTCAAACAAAGTTAGCCAACAAATCGATGTCCCCTATTTCCATTCCTTTTGCAAGACTAAAATCAAGTAGATGTAATTGTTACTGCTATAAATGTTATAGTAATATTCTCTCCCTCCCCCCCAGTTGTGAAAGGACAGGGACAATTAACAGTGCAGAAAGGATGTTTTTGGCATTTCTTAATATATAAAATCCTATATTACAGTAGTATGTGTTTTAATGACATTATGCATTTAAAATCTGGGTCAGTCACTTTTCATCTGTAATATATTTCTGCATGACAGCATCTGAGAATATGTGGACACACGTCTGCTGCAAAATCATTAAACCAAGAAAAAAATGACTCAGATTTTACTTACATTTAAAGAAATAAAACAACTAACAAATGAGAGAACAGCTAAGAATAAATCATTTACAGCCTAAAAATTCAACATTTCAAACAAAATATTTTAATACATTTGACACAAACTGGATCTTAGAAATCACCCTTGATCTAACAGAGACTGTTTTATATTTTAAGTGATTTACCTTTATGACTGACTACACCTAAGCCATAAAAATCTCAACAGGTTTTATTTCTTTTGTGAATATGTCATGATCAAGCTTCAGTTATAAAATATTAGAGTTGAGATATATTTCCTTAGCACTCAGTAAAATGGTGCACAGAAGTTAAAATGTTATTTTATTTCTGCTAACCTGACAATAGAACTTAAAATGCAAAAATTTAAATCCTTCTAAAGCAAAAATACAAATACACACACAATAACCCCGATAAGTCTATTCATCGAGATTTATAAAATGAATTTTCTTCACCAGTTAATCAGAGTTCATTAATCTATATCTGCAAATATGTTTTGCCAAAATGTTTTGGTACTGAGATCCCTTTCAAACCACTTTAATGCAAGGGCTAAAGGAAACGTTCAAAAGAGGAACAGAATAAGGACCCTGTGAACCCGTCCATGTTCCTTTGTGAAGGCAGAAAGACATGGAAGGCCCAGTGGAGATCCATTTTTAAGTCTCTGCTTTGTTCCTCCAGGGTTTCTTGGAGGTATGTTCCTCGGGATCCAGAGAGGATGTGAATTGTGTGGCAGCCCATAGCTACAATTCAATGTAATAAAATCATGAAGCGGAGAGGGCTGAAACAGTTAAGTAAATGACACTCCTTATAGCACACACATGCGAATGTGATGTTGCTGAAATCCGAGACAATTTCCCCCAAACCAGCCAGGACAGTAATCCAATTAAGAGACCTCTGCATCCTGTCGCTCCTCCAGGATTAAGCATACCTCTCTTCGCTACCGTGTTACCTAAAACAGATTAAATAAGTGAGAATTCAGTATCTCATCCCCACTGAAGACAGTACTTTCTGCTACCAGACCCAGAAGTCCCTGTCTCAACCAAATCAACTGTTCAAATCAAATTCTTCTTCACAGTTCTTGCTTCCAGGTTGCAAAGAAAACATGCACAAAGACTTCCACAACATGGTATTATGTACCTTAGCTTGGTATTTTGTTGAGTTATAAAAAACCCATCAGATTAGGTACATTCATTGCCCACAGAGTTAATGTATGCCTGCTGAGCATGCTTTCTTGAAGGCACTACATTTTTTTTCAAATGAATACCAATTAAGATCAGTGTATGTCAATCTGAAAATGTAGTTAACTTTTATTTACTCGAGAGAGTGAGAGAGAGCACGAGCAGGGGGAGAGGGAGAAGAAGGTTCCCCGCTGAGCAGGGAGCCCAAGGTGGGACCCGGGGATCATGACCTGAGCCAAAGGCAGCCACTTAACCAACTGAGTCACCCAGGCATCCCCCCCTTTTTTAATGTAGTTAACTTTTATTTTTAAAAATAAGTTATTATGGGGCACCTGGGTGTCTCAGTCGGTTGAGCATCTGACTCTTGATTTCGACTCTGGTGGTGATCTCAGGAAGATTGAGCCCCAGGTCAGGCTCTGCACTCAGCGGGGAATCTGCTTGAGATTCTCTTTCCCACTCCTTCTTCCCCGCCCCGACTCACTCACTCTCTCGTTGCATGCTCTCTCAAATAAATAAATCCTTAATAAAAGAAAGAAATAGGTTCTTTTAGAAAACTGCCATAATTACTAGAAACAGACATTCATTAAGAAGTGTACTGTTGTTTTTCTTATAAGTATTTAAAAATAGAGAAAAAGATTAACAGTTTCTTGAGTTTTATTTGGTCAGGTAAGGTGTAAGGTATTTTACAGGTTAGATAATCCATACACAAGCTAGAGGGGGGGAAAAAAAACCCAAAAGCTTGAGACTTTAACAGGCCTACAGCGTGAAAAAGTCATCACTCCCCGCCTTTAGACCCAATCAAGTATTTATTCAAACCTCAGATTTGCTATTAATTGACATATAACCTTTATTTTAGATATTCTACAATACAGTTGCCCTTTTGTTTGTGAGGGAAATACTATAGCAAACACAACAAAAACCCTGTGCTCGTGGAGTTTATAGAACAAGTATGCTAGCCCTATTCTAGGTAAAGGACCAGACAGAAATTTGTTCAGCATTGTACACCATACAGTTACTGCCACTACTACTTAACTCAGCCTTTATAGCACAAAAGGAGCATAGACAATTCGGCATGTAAACTAATGGACATTGTTTTATTCCAGTAAAACTCTAGTTGTAGACACTGAAATTGGGACTTCGTGTAATTTTCATGTTATGAAACACTTTTTACCTTTTGATTGCTCCCAACCCTTTAAAACCATATAGCCCAGTCTTAGCTCACAGACCACAAAATATAGGCCAAGGGCTGAGTGTGGCTTGCAAGCCACAGCTTGGTGACTCCACTGTAGAGGAAATAGTTGGACCAACAGGCAAAGGAACGACATGTCAGCAAGTGATAGGTGCTATGGACAAAAAGATACTAGGGCCAAGAGGGTAGGGCTCTATGGATTTCTAGAGGTTGTCATATGAGGAGCTGCTTGAAGGAGACAAGGGAGCCCTGACTACCTGGGAGAAGAACTTTGGCCTTTTTCCACCTGGGGCACAAAGAGGAGACCAGGGATGCATGGCCAGACTGCCAACTTAAAGGAATCACACTGGTAGAAGTGCTGAAAGGTGAGGCCAACCGGACTTGTGAAAATGAGGACAATGGATGTGAGAGAATAAGGATTCAAGCAAAGTCTTGATCTCAAATTTTGTAGGTTGGGGAGAACTATCACTGCTTTAGCTTCTTCAGCTGCTAAATGTTAAATTAGCACCTGCTCCCTTCAGTTGTACTGAAGAGTGAGTGAGATGTGAATGGCATGGCCCAGGGCTTGGCATGTGGTTGACACTCAGGAAAGCGTGGCTCTTATCCCGTTAGCTCCTCATGGATCTGCCATGCATCCGCGCATATAAGTTAACAGTGTTCACAGCCAGGTAGCAACCTATATCTAGGATGTAATTCTCAACAGCCTCTTATTTAAGGAAGCTTTGCATGCCCAGTTCGTTTTGGAGTTGATCTCTATTAAAGTTGAATGGTAAGATTCTTTACGATTTATTCTCCTGTCAAATTTTCATTTTGCTAACTGTATATGGAAGGTCGTTGTTGCTTTGGAATTTGGTGGACATAAGGTTGCTAATTACCAATACTAGCTCCACTCTCACGTGATAGGGTACTCTGAGTATTTCAAGCTCTGGCCCTAGGGATCAAGAAAGACAACACTATACGTAAAGGATCAGTCTCAGTTGGACCTTAAAAAGACAAGTAGAATTTTATAAAAGGGAACAGATGAAGAAGGCAGCAGTGGGATATGGAAATACATGGTCTATTGGGTGAGTCATATTGATGGCTCATCTCAAGGTGCTTATACTCTATTTTCTGTTACCCATGGGAATCCATTGGTGGTCTCTCACCAAGGAGAAATCTAGGCAGGGAAATAAAGGCAAGAACAGAGCAGGTACAGAGCCTGGTTAAACGAGAATCAACATAAGAACAAATTTTTGAGAATGGTTTGCTAAGCTCCATCCCAGACTTACTATACCAGAATACCCTAGAGATGGGGCTCAAAACGGTGGATACACGTTCCCACGAAAAGTTTCCTGCAGCCACTGTTACCATTAAATAATTATAATATATATTATAATAATAATTATAATATTTGGTCAAGAGAGAATGAGGATGATCCATGGTGGTAGCCTAAGAAACAGAGGGAAGGTTACCATTTAGAGCACATTCCAAAGAAGATACTGTAAGGACTGGATCATCTTAGGTCTTGAGGGTGAGAGGTGTTGCCAAGAAAACCTGTTGTTTACATTAACTCCTATCTCTAGTTTTCTAATATGAAATATTGGAAACGTGTAGATACTAAGTGGAAACTTTGAAGAGCTACATGAAGTAAGAGAATCAAATAAGATGCTTACAAAGAGCTACCAAAAAGAAGAAGAAAAAAAAATTCTCTAAAGCAGATTTTTTTCAACCCCAACACTATTTACATTTGGAGCCAGATAATTCTTTGCTATGGGGGGCCCTCCTGTGCATTTTAAGATTTTTAGCAGCCTGTCTGGCCTCTCCCCCCAAAATGTCCATATAACCCCCACTCCCCAACGTGTGGCAACTAAAAATATCCCCTTGATGGAAAAATTACCCCTGGTTGAGAACTACAGCTCCTAAGACATAGCTCTTCACCCTCAGATGTTGGAAAAATAAAAACATGACAAATCTAAAATTTCCTGAAATTCACTATGATTTACTTCCATTTTCAAACAAAAAACAGCCCTGGCCAGTGGTTCACTGTGGTGATAAAACATCGTGCAGTTGTTAGGAGCTTTAATATGAACAACTCAAATGTAAAGGAAAACTGAGGCCGGATGACAATGAGAGTTGTAGTTCTCCTTGAGAACTAGTAGCTGAAGTTCTCTCTGGAAACACTGAAAACTGTAGAGGCAGAATAAACTCACAGCTACCTTTTTACCCCTGGAAAAGACCGGATGACTGGCTTGGAAATGGTCCCCCTCGTTGTCATATCTTCATCTAAGTCTGTTAATATCTCAACTTGACTGCTTACTCTTTTCATATTTGCATTTAAATGGAAAACAAAATTCTGACATAGGTGGCTTACTGCAGGATTATATTTTTTCAATGTTTCCATGTTTTGATGTTGCTATACATGAACTGTTTAAGGAAAATGAAAGCTACTTTGTTATATAGTTAATACCCCCTCTAGGGCTGCAATGGTTTACCTCTGTAGGACCTCTGTCATACTTGTGGTGTAAGGTTGCTATTTTAAGAAAAAGACACAGCTTCTGAGGGTACTAAGCTCTCCCAGGAAGCCAGTTACACCTCTACAAATGAATTTACTCTGTTCATAAGATCCATAAAAGACATAAAATGTTTTATGCAGTTCAAGTCACAATGACTTGGATTAATAAAGGAAACAAAGTTTTACTACTTCGAGATTATTCTCAAGTGGCATATCACTAAAAAAAAAAAGCAGCTAAGTATCATTATGGCTTAGGGAACTGTATTGTGTTTCTACAACTTTAAAAGTGCCAAATGAAATGTCACTACCATTGAGGATTTAGCTAGAGCAAACTTATATTCCCAGCACAGAGAGCCAAAATGCCCCTAAAGGTTTGCTTCCTGCAAATGCTCTCTCTAACTGCACATAAATAGAGAGGGAGCCGCTCCAGCAAGAGACTACTTAGACACATTCTTTTCTGGAACACGGTTGGCTTGTGCTCATGGCTTATTTTATATTTATATATAAAGATCAATACAAGTATAATCTTCCGACTGTTAGTCTACAAGCAATAGGATAAAGGGAAATTTTTATCAATGATGGATGTAAGACCCCAGCTTGTTGGCAGCTCCAAGATTTTTACTCAGGAAGGGGATAGGGGAAAAAGGGCTGAAAGGGGCCAGTGGGGAAAGGAGAGTGGAATTACTTTAAGGCAGAGTTTGCTTAGCAAGCACACTTGGGTTTACATAGATTGGAAGTCAATTTGGAGTAGCTTAGAAGCGGACTTGATAGAAATCATGGGAGCGTTAACCTCCTTCCTCCACCAGCAAAGGACTCCACGAACTTCCACTGCTCTGGATATAAGAGCACATGCAGGCGTAACTCAGAGGCCTGCAGGTTTGGGTCCAGACCAGCCCAGGAAAGCAAGTATTGCCATAAAGAAAACATCACAATAAAATGAGTATCATAATAAAGCACGCCAAAGTAATTTTTTGGTTTCCCAGTGCCTATAATAGTTATGTTTATACTGTGCTGTACTCTTTTAGGTGTGCAATAACATTTTGTCTAAACAAAAATGTACATGGCTTAATTTAAAAGCACACAAAAAATGCTAACCCTCATCTGAGCTTGCATCCAGACCTAATCTTTTTCCTGGTGGAGAGTCTTGCCTTGATGTTGATGGCTGCTGAAGAATCGGGGGGGCGGTGGCTGTGGCAATTTCTTTTAACGAGACCATCTGGCCTGCCACACTGACTGACTCTTCCTTTCATGAACGACTTCTCTATAGCGTGCCATGTTGTTGATAGCATTTTACTCGCAGAACTTCTTTCAAACTGGGAGACAATCCTCTTAAGCCCTGCTGCTGCTTATCAACCAAGTTGATGTAAGATTCTAAATCCCTGGTTGTCACGTCAACCATCTTCACAGCATTTTCACCAGGAGTAGATGCCATCGCAAAAAAAACACTTTCTTGCTCGTCCATAAGAAGCGCTTCATCTATTACGTTTCTCATGAGATGGCAGCACTTTATTCCCGTGTTCAGGCTCCTCTTCTAATTCTAGTTCTCTTGTTATTTCCACCACATCCCCAGTGACTTCCTCCACTGAAGTCTTGAACACCTCAGAGTTGTCCATGAGTGTTAAAATCAACTTCTTCCAAATGCCTGTTAATTTTGACCTCTTCCCATGAATCAGCGATGTTCTTGATGGCATCTAGCATGCCCAGATCCAACTGTGGCAGTTGTAGCCTTATAAAATGCACTTCTTAAATAATAAGAAAGACTAGGGGCGCCTGGGTGGCTCAGTCGTTAAGCGTCTGCCTTCGGCTCAGGTCATGACCCCAGGGTCCTGGGATCGAGCCCCACATGGGGCTCCCTGCTCCGCGGGAAGCCTGCTTCTCCCTCTTCCACTCCCCCTGCTTGTGTTCCCTCTCTTGCTGTGTCTCTCTCTTTCAAATAAATAAATAAAATCTTTAAAAAATAAAAAAATAATAAGAAAGACTAAATGACATCCATTCTGCAGCCCTTGGATCAAGGAGTCATATTAGCAGCCATGAAAACATTAATCAACATTCATCTCCATCAGAGCTTCTGGGGGACCAAGTCCATTGTCACTGAGTGGTAATATTTAGAAAGGAATCTTTTTATAAGCAATAAGTCTCAATAGTGGATTTTAAATATTCAGCAAACCAAGCTGTAAACAGATACACTGACATCTAAGCTTTGTTGCATTTCTAGAGCACAGACAGAGTAGATTTGGTCTAATTCTTAAGGACTCTAGGATTTTTGAAATGGTAACTGAGCATTGTCTGCAGCCTAAGGTTACCAGGTGCATTAACCCCTCACAAGAGTCAGCCTGTCCTTCAAAGCTTTGATGCCAGGCATTGACTTCTCCTCTCTCGCTATGAAAGTCATGGATAGCATCTTCTTCCCTTAGGAGGCTGTTTTGTCTACAACGAAAATCTGTTGTTTGGAGTAGCCACCTTCTTTATTTTAGCCAGCTTGCTGCAGCTTCCACATCAGCACTTGGCGCTTCACCTTGCACTTACTTCTTTGTTAAACCTCAGGAACCAACTTCTACTAGCTTCAAACTATTCTTCTGTACGTTCACAGAACTGAAGAGAGTTAGGGCCGTACTCTGGATCAGGCTTTGGTTTAAGGAAATGTTGTGGTTTGGTTGATCTTTTATCCAGACCACTGAAACATTCTTCATATGGGCAAAAAAGGCTGTTTCCCTTTCTTTTTTTTTCTTTTTTTTTTTTTTAAAGATTTTATTTTTTATTTATTTGACAGAGAGAGACACAGCGAGAGAGGGAACACAAGCAGGGGGGTGGGGGAGGGAGAAGCAGGCTTCCTGCCGAGCAGGGAG